TTTGCAGCAAGTTTGCGGCAAGTATGCAGCAAGCTTGCAGCAAACATTTTACCATGCAAATGAGGTTTGCTGCAAGTCTGCAGCAAACACTGGATTTTCCAAATATGGCAACCTTGCTGCAAGCTTGCGGCAATCATTGCTGCAAGCTTGCGGCAAACATTGCTGCAAGCTTGCGGCAAACATTGCTGCAAGCTTGCAGCAAACATTGCTGCTAACTTGCGGCAAGGAATATAATTATTGTATTTGGCACATTCCTGGGTACAAGCAGCAAGTTCGCAGAAAGCCTTTGTCCTGACCTTAATCTGTTGAAGTTAACTATAAAGAAAATCCACCACATGTGTATGAAATGATGCAAGCTAGTTTCTGAAGTGTTGATAGTCTCTCTTTATGTTCCTTGACAATGTTCACATTCTATTCTTAATAAAAAATATAATTTTTTTGACAAGTACAGAAAATTAAAAACTTCGCACATTCCTTTAACAATAAAATTTTACGGTTAATACTAATTTATTTGAAAACATATAAACATTTATAATAGTTGATTTGGAACCTTTAATACATTTAAAGAAACATACAATTGTGATATTAAAATAAAGATTAAAATTCATAAATAGATTAAGATTTGACCTAGCAAGTACATGTTACTTGAACATGCTTTAAAGAGATAATTGTTTCATTATCAAAATAAAACAAAATCAGATCTTACCAATTAGATGTTTTGTATGCCAATATACACCTACATTCAGAATTTTGCTTTTGTAATCATTCAACATGTTCAAAATGGGAAGTATTCCTAACAAAATACTGAAACATCTACACTTCAATTCAAACATTTCAAAATGGCGAATTCTGTGTTGACCCCCGTACAATCTGCATTTCATTGGCTGATTTGACTTGTTTACTGTTCTTGCGAACTTCCTGCAAACATTCAATTTGTTAAATGTTTCCTGCGAACTTGCTGCGAACAACAGATTGGCGTGTATGTTTCTTTCAATGTTCCTGCAAACATGTTGAGTTCCTGCGAATTTGCTGCAAGCTTACAGCAATTGCTGCAATGTTTGCCGCAAGATCGCAGCTAGCGGCAATCATCTGCGAACAAGAAAAGTTTCTTCCTGCGAACAATTTTGTTTGCTGCAAACTTGCAGCAGACTTGCTGCAGGTCTGCAGCAAACATAACAGTTTGGTAAGGGATTGTACAATGTATAGGTGCATTCAGATGAAATTCACAAAATCCACCCTGATCTTCACTGCAAATTAGTGTGTGTCTCTTTTTACACATGACATGTAAGTGCTTAACGCCTTTTATGCTTTCATCTGTATTAAGCTTCCATAAACAGAGATATAAAATAACAGTTATTATTCCGATTGTCATTATTGTACACGTCTTTTAGCCGAAGTGTGTTTTATATTTTTGTATGAAAAAAGGTGAAGATAACGAGTAGCTATCGATTTACAAAGAAAACCTACAAACAAAGGATGACTGCACTTAACGCCTGTTTTGGGGTCCTTTTCGGTTGCTTCTGTTGCTTTTATATCTAAACCTTATTTCAATTTTGTATGTTTATGAAAGAATCCTGTCAATTTGGAACCAAATTTAAATCTTAAAATGATTTTAGACTGTGATACAATAAAATGATTCAATGTTTTTTGTCCTTACTGCTTTCCAAATATAGTGAATTTACACTTACCTGCCCTTGATTGAACATTAGATATGCATGAGAGGTGGAGCTAACATTGTAAGAATGGGTCTAAAATTAGACTTGATAAATAACAATGGCATGTTTGGAAAAAAGAACGTGATCACTCTTTCCAATCTCTCTCTCCATTCTGTATGGAACAAATACACTTCTGACAAATGTTTCAAAACGAAATTAACAATATGAGCACGTCAATGTGATTGAAGTAGATTTTTTATCAATGCCAGATGACTTAACGTGTTCGAACACAATGTCCTAGTTAGCACAAAACATGCTACCTTAGAAGTCACGTGACGGAATTTAGTATTCACAAAGTTACCTGAGGTAAGAAATCACGTGGTGAATTATAATATCTAACAAGTCACAATCTATGGTTACAACACAGAGAGTGAATGTAAGAAGAAGCAGTTTTTTCTCTTTTTAACCATGAGTGCATGTTTGTCTATTAATCTCCTTTTGACACATTATTATTTATGCAAATATACAACTACTGTTAAACGTAGAACAATAGACAAACATGCGCTGACTATGTATAAAGTCAGTAAAAAAGTGGGCGTCCTCATTATCGAACGGAGATTCAAGAAATTGTGATGACCCCTGCCTTTGAAAACAGATTCGAACTCCGTAAATACACACTTCTATTAAACGTAATTACATAAAGTTGTAGATTGGATGTTGACCATTACTGCAATGAAAAGAAAAATGTTTGTTTTGAAAGTTTATTTTGTCGCAAATTTCGCATTTCCTTAAGTGCAGTCATCCTTTGTAAACAGGGGAAAAATCACGAATCCTGGAAATTCCAGAAGTGGGATCAGGTGCCTATAAGGAGTAAGCATCTAAGCCACAACCTCCCAGAGCCCGAAGTTTTAATCACGTAGACGGAATACTAAATTTACTATTTAAAAATGCTCTAAGAATTGGTATATTGGTATAAAATACGCCAGTAAATATGACATTGATAGGTTGTATTTGCAAACAAGATCATTATTACGGCCATAGTACATAGTATTTTGATATGAGAAGAATTTCTTATTTTCTATATAAGAAGAAAACTCTTTTGATGTGTCTTGCAATTCAACATTTCGATAGAACGACGACGTTTTATCAATTAACGATATTTATTTTCAGTCATATGCCAATTCCAGTAACTAGAAGTAAAGGACATTAACGAGTCTGCCACATTTGTTTCATACATCAATATTTTACTGACTAGAAGTGGCCGTTTAACAATCAAACTTTATGATAAGTGTAATGACTTCAGTTTTTTTCATCTTCGTCTATTCTAAAATCATTGCACATTATATTCGTGTTTGTAATACTAAGTCGACAAACAAATACCTAATTGTTATAAGCGTTGTCAGCTGGAACCAAACATATTTTAACGTATTCTCTTATCACTTCCCGTATACTGAAATCGGAAGGACAGTTATCTTTTGATTTTGTAATGCAATTTTAAATATATATATGTATATAAAACGTTTAACCCATTGTGACAGTGTGTAAAAATTTTCCCCTTCATTTTAAGCCAATAGCCTTTAGCTCATCTCAAGTGAAAAGCAACTTCTTTTACTCTTTTTTATAACTATGCCTTTTAAAATCCATCATATAGCTCTACAGTAGGACAGAGACAAAGAAATGTACATATATCAGTTTTGTATGTGCAGTGAGTGATGTTTTGAATTTGCAATTAATTATCAAGACATTTCGACTTCTATATAACAGACAAATTATTTTCAGAACTTTTACCTCTCATTTTAAGATTTTTCGGCTTAATAGAAGTACTTATTTTTTAACTGCTTGTCACAATGACTTCATTTGAAATCAATTTGTTGTCTCCTGTGTGGTCCATGCTACTCAAAGTACAAGTTTCTATATGGAGATATACAAGAAACTTTCGCGAAAACGTGAGGTCTGAACCACAAACACAAATTTCTGCTAAATGCATGCAAGCTGTCAATAATAAGTAGAAAAACTGATGTTCGTATGGTTGTGTTTTTTAAAATAAAGGAATACTAACTTAAACGATAGTTCTATTGTAAAACGGCACTTAATTACTATAGCAAAAGTATCAACGTTTTTGCTGTACTTAATCAAAGTGTCCAGTCCTTGCCATAATAATCAATTTTGTTTACTATAAAATTCATAGTTTTTCATTTTCATTTCACTTTGTGATATTAAAGGGTAATTCAAGTTATGCTTCCTAATTTATCATCATTGATATCAATGAGGTTTAGATTAAAAGAATGCCACGTCATTTACTTCACTTTGGCAAAATGTGTCTGCCTGTAATTTATATCACCTATCAGTAACCATCGAAAATTGGAGTCTTTATCATTTTTCAAGAATAAATCCTCAACGTTGATCATATCATCTTTTCTTTAGGCAATACATTGTATTTCTTTCAAAATTATTCATATAAAAGACGGGGATTTAATCTACCCCCTGATTAACAAGCGCATTTATTATCAGGCTTTGTTTGGAACCCCTCCGTAATGTTTCTTACGGAAGACTTCGACTGCTTATCACTTCGATCACAGACTTTAATGTGTCAATAACCGTCCAATAATTTGCGCACAAGTATGAATCTTTATTAAGTACTTTCTAAAAGTGCACATTTATCATATTTTTGTGCAATTCAGAGTCGTATCATCAAATTAACAAGTTTAATTTCACACGATAAAAAGATAATAAAACCAGATTTTCCAGCACATATTGTGTTTATCAAAGGTTAATGTAGTTTCAATAAATAATTTTCCTTAAGAATAAATACATTTTCAACTATATAAACACAGTAGCAGATATACCAGTAAAAAATATTACATACATGTACTAAGAAATAAATACAGGATTTAGCATATGCAATATGGCTGAAGTTACAATATTAGCCAGTTTCAAGGGCTGATACCGGTCCTGCAGAACTAATAAGGATCCGCAGGGCTAATACAGATAAATAAAACCCTTTTTAGATTAAATTCTATAAAACAGTATTTGTGATAATACGTCTGTTTTTTTCTGTGAAAAATTTTGTATTTAATTCTAAATAGGTTTTATTTGATTACATTTAATATGCTAGTTTGTGATTATTTATTTTTGTTTGCTCATAAAAGTAAATGTGTAAATGCTATAACTAAGAACGTAATAAATATAATAAAAACATACCCTTTTTAATATCACACTGATATCAGGTAAAACATGTATTTCAATATCCTCTATTAAAAATGTATATGGTACTCCAGACTACTACTATTTTCCTTTATGAATAACCATTGAATCGGGTAGCAATCGAGTGTAATTTTTCAATCACTACTCTATATCTATCAGCTCTCCTTGACTGTTGGCAGGGTTAATTTCTTCTCTCTGTCCTATTGTATCAGTAGAACCAACTGTATTTGACCTTTTCTTAATCAGATAAGAACTTAATACAATTTCCAAAACCTGAAAAAGAAAATCCATATATTTTATTATAACATTCTTTTTAACCGATCTTTCAAAAAGATGCTTATGGAGGAGGAGGAGGAGAGGAGGGGTACGTCACGTTTCCCATTCAGGACTTCTCGTCATCATCGTTACCTGTTCGTCTTCCAGACAAATCTCTCAATGGGAACATTTCATACAAGAAATTTCAATATTTAAACTTTTAAACTTTCATTTGATAATGTACAATCTCTTTATCCAAACCCATCCTGACATCGTCATTACCCTCTGCCTCTTCAATTTATAAGGAAGAATTCATACAGCTTTAATGTTAACAGAGTTTAATTACTAGAGAAGTCATCTTATAAATGTCAACCTAAACGTTCATTAATTTACCAAAAAGTAGCAGTTCCCAAAAATATGAAAGCATGGATTTCTTTTAATGTGTTATGTTTCCATCTTTGGAGAAACCAATTATTTTTGAAAATATGAAAACGTCAAATGTATACAAACAATGCACAGAAAAAAAAACATACATGCCAGACAAATACCGATCAGAAAACTACTCCTTTGGAGAGGAACATAGACATTAGCAAATATATTACCTGTTGTCAGTAGTAAATGTGTACTTACATGAGAGCAAAAATTGGTTACAATGTATGCCACCATTATCCCAGCGGAGTCATATAGTAAGCCTACATTACTACAAACCTGCATGTAAATAGATAAAATATTACAATACTTCATGATAAAAATGAAATTCCTTCCTCTTATTTAATATTTTTAGAGGTCTGCAAAAGAAAATGACAGTTTTGTAAGGCAGAACTATAAGGATATTTAAGACAGACAAGAATTTTCGGTGTATGTAGATGTTTAAAATGAATGCACTTACTGAATCTTTATATGATTGTAAATCAGATGAAGCGCAATCGGATTCTGTTCCGCATATACAATATGCCTTTAAATAAAAAACAATATATTACACAAGATCGAAGAGAGACTTGATTATTTTGTCCAGGATAGCCATTTTTAGAACGTAGAATTTTCAAAAATGAAGAGCAAAGCAACGACTTCTTACTTAATAGTGTACTTACCAAATTAAGAACTATCGAAGATAATGCTAAACAGATGACATCAGAAAATATCCAAAGTAATCGAATAATGAATACCTAAAATAAGAACATTTAGAATCCAATAAGCGATACAATTTTCCGTAACGTACATGTATATTAAGATAAGGATTTAGTTCTAAGGAAAACACTTACAACTGTTAACAACTGCTTGCTCATTTTTAGAACTATTGCAAATTCAAAACAATGGCAGGCGATATCCAGCGGCACTATGGCCATGTGAGAATACATAAGACCCAATGCCGTTCGACCATAATTCAGATCGTTTGTGTAGACCTCACACATTGCATCCAGCAGGTCGGTATGTATATAACCAGGTGTAAGTCCCATTAGAAGTAAACCAATCCAAAATAGGAGCCGGATAATCTATAACATATAATCATCGAATCATAAACTCAGTACCAAAAGTGAGGAAGAACTAATGAAGAAACTATCTTATTTAGCATCAAAGTAATCTTTTATTCCGTGAAAAAATTTAAGCGTAATTGTATGATTTTTTTCTCATCTAAAGTACACGCTAATCATTAGTGTGATTGGGAAAATACATAAGCATTAATGAATAAATACAAATTCACAACAATATATCTAAGCATTCTTAGAAAACATACATGCATTTATTTAAAATGTTAAATTTGAAATGGACCTTAATCAGAGCCCCATCCCTGCCAGCTACCAACTTGTTAGCAAATGAGAATAATTGTTATAGAATAGGATCAGGTTAATAAAACGGAAAAAATCAAACAAACAAAGACTTATTTATTTTATTTTAGATATATTGGAACATAAGAAATATTCTTGCGGCCAAATTATTTCAAACAGTTCAGAATTTTTTTTTATTAGTTTAGAATATATTAAAAAATCTCAAATTAATATTTTGAATAGATATTTTATTTTTATAATAACATCTTTACTCAGAATAGTATCGTTTCGCCTATTTTTTTCAATTCTTTGTACGAATACCACTTTCAATCAATAGGGAGAGAGAGCATAAAACAACAAACACAAGCTTCAATTTTTACTTACTAACATAAGAAGGAGAAAAACGAAGTAGGTTAAGATTAATTTTGATGTTTTTCTGAAATAAAGCATACTTAATGAATTTTTGTGAAAAAATATTTTTCAGAAAGCTTGAAAGATCATATCAAAAATTAATTATTCTACTCACAAGTATGTGTAAAGAAAGCCAAACGCTGTTACAAATGCACTTTTCTGGCTTGGTTTATCCCCAGCATACTTGTAAAGTTTATCGAGTATTATCATACTCAAAACCTGAAAAAGGATACTCTGCATTTACAGGAACCATTCAAAATGACAAATTGACGTTAAAGTTCCAAATTAATACACAATAAGTATAAAGACACATTTCAAAATTTGATGAGTTACTCACATTAAGAACGATATGAATGACCAAATATGAAATAAACACAGCCACGATATCAAATACGAATGGAAGATTTGTATCGCAGAACTGGAAAAGATAATTACAAAATTGTACAAACAAACTAAACAGATCTACTCATAGTGAAATAATTCGCCAAAAAAACTTGTTAATCTTTTTACCCAATAATTGAAAAAATTAGAACTTGTGTTCAAACCATTTGTATATTATTTATACAATAAAATATGTTCAAATAATTGATTATTCTCGAGTTTTGATATTATGTTTTATATGTAGTTCACTGAAACTAATTACCTGTGAATATTTATAAGATACATAATCAGAAGAACTTCGGTCAAAACATCCGTATGCCTAAGAGTAAAAAATGATACATACCAACAATCTATAGTTTTAAGTTAACTGAGACAAATCTCTAAGGGGATTTTATAGTAATCCTATACATGAAAGAAGCAGAATGTATTTAAAACTTCTATTCAAAATTAAGGACCCCACAGTCTGTCACATCTTTTTTAAGTTTGGATGTTTTACTGAATATCTGAATGACAATCTAACAATCTATATTACAAACACAATTAATTCATCTTTTCCATTATCATCTTCCTCTTTTCATGAAGTAATATTCAACAATCATATACATATGATGTTTATGCATCTAAATTAATTCAGTACGTAAGAGAATATTCTGAGTACGATCAATTTTTAAAACGAGACAGGCTACTGACAAATACTCTTAAGATTGATTGATTGATTGTATGTTGTTTTACGTCCCGTTCGAGGATTTTTCACTCATATAGAGATGTCACCATATACCGGTGAAGGGCTTCAAATTTTGACCTTTACTCTGCACTCAGGGCCATTGAGCAGAGAGGGTTCTTTATCGTGTCAACGCCTACCGTGACGCGGGGCCTCGGTTTTTAAGGTGTCATCCGAAGCACCCCCCAACTTTCGCTTTTTGGAGAAGGAACAGTTGCTATCTATTATTTATCGACTTAGGTCAGTCGCGACCGTGATTCGAACACATGACCTTTCGGTCACGAATACTCTTAAGATGATGTTCTATCGCTCTCTACATTCTTTTTAAAAGTCAGAATTTCGTAATTTTATGGCCGTTATAATTAACTTGTTAAAAATATAACATATTGTTGGATCCTATTTTGGCTGAAATGTTTCATATAATTGTGAGACCATTGTTTTATGTTTTTAACTCCCTTTCCCAGATCAAAAAACGCTTATTGGCGGCTGTGACCGGATGTTAGGGATGCTTACTCCTCCTTTTCACCTGATTCCAATGCTGGTATTTCCAGGGCTCTGTATTTTGTCTTGTTCATAATTTGTTCAGTTTTCAGGATTCATGAGATTGATTTCTGCTCGTGATCTCCACTTTTCCATACATGAGGACACTTTTGAAAAAAAAAAAAAAAAATTATACTCCTTTTTTTATATTTAAATTCTCTCGAGTATATTTTCTAAAAATATCGGATTCCTTTTAAGGAAAAACATGGTTTTTTTAAATTAAAAATTGATCTTATGGAATGACGATCATAGTTTATTAAAATGGACCCAACATTTGTTTAGGGCATTCATTTTAGGTTTACATTTAATCTTTAAAAATATTACAATACTCCTGAGAATATTTCATTTTATAAATGGATTATGCATATTCTAAGTTACTACCGCTTAATTTGATCTATTTCCTCTGATCCAAGGTAATATCTGATTGAATCTTCCGACTGTACACATCTTACATTATCCCCCCCCCCCCCCAGAAAAAAAAAAGAGAAAAGCTTGTTCAATTATTACCATGAGTATTTTTTTCATCACGTTTTTTAAACTACTTGAGTGAAAGTGAAATGGAATGTGAATGTAATGAAAAGTGATCATGCTAAGATGTCCATTTAAACAATACAAGTTGTGAGCAGACCAAACACAGACCTCTAAAAACAGAGTTAAGATCAGGTTCCATGGAGGAGTAAGCATACCCTGACGACCGGTCACACACGCCATGAGCTCCTTGATTGTGTTTGCCAATACGGTCACCGTTCCAACTACAGAATTTTCAAAATGATTACTTCAATTGAAGTTTTTTTTTTATATCCCTGTATTATCAACGTATTTACCAAGAGCCTGTCCCATTTTAGAAAGTGTTCATACGTAGAATATGCTCTAGCGTATCGATTTAAATGGAAGACATAATCTCCATATACAAGTGATACTGGTATAATGCTACATAACGTTTAGGATTGAAAAGTTGAAGTCATCATATTTATCATAAACATTAGTTGTTAGTTGGCCATCAATGTCTTTCATTAGTAAAATATCCAAATATGAAACAGATGTGTCGGACTCTGTAGTGATTTATATTTTCGAGTTCAAATGAAAATATAGAAACAACGTAAGAATGAAAATGAATATTGTTAATCGATAAAGCTCCGTCGATATATTTGAATGTCGAATTGAAGAGCCTTCTTTTCATGTAGAGGTATTTTTTAAATAAATTCTGCTTCATATGAATAAAGACGGGTCTGATAATAGCGGGACATAATTGCATGTAGTACCAATAGGGAAATTCAAAAGATTGTTGGAATACCTCGTCTGCGAAACCAACATACTTTGTCAATCAGAAATCAAGCTGTTTAATAACGAAGTAAGTATTAATTTCAAGGTATGCAATTTTACAATTTCCATTTTTATTCATTTTTATTGAAGAAACAGTTGTGTAAGTTAACTTAAAACATGGTCTTAAGCTTATCGTGGGTAATGGTTGCATGAAAGCCTTACGTTTTGATACTTTTGATTTTGGTAAAAGATGAAATTTCAAAAATCTCTTGGAGTTTTAAGTATCAACATCTGATATATACAATGTTATTGTGCAGTATTTCTGAATTTTTCTTTTTCACTGTTATCAATATTTTTGTGAGGAATAACTAAAATCTCTTCTTACGACATGCTATTCCTCCATTTCCCCCAAACATGAAGTGGGTGAATTATGCTGACAGTGAAACAGACACCGAAAAAGGTCATGGTGTTTTCGAAATACTACCTCATCCTTCCAATTTTGTAAAAGATAAGCTAATAAAAAGCTTTTGACTTACCATATCGAAATACTAATTCATCCTTCAAATTTTGTAAAAGATAAGCTAATAAAAAGCTTTTGACTTACCATATCGAAATACTACCTCATCCTTCCAATTTTGTAAAAGATAAGCTAATAAATAACTTTTGACTTACCATATCCATAAGGTAGGAGGACTGTACAAGAAGGACGATCTCCCCAATACAGATAACAAAAATAGCTGAAATTATCTAAAATACGACAAAGTTTTTAAAAAAAATCTGGTTTGCAAAAAGAGATTAAGTATATATCATTTTGTAAGTTAGCTATAACATACCGTGATTTTTCTGAACATACAATTTACTATTTGTTAGATATTTCATCGTATTTGCATTCATAAAAACTCACTATGTAAATGAAAACTGGACGACGGTGTAAACCAGCGAAGAGCATCACACCTCGGAAACATATAATAACAGGAATAAAAGACATAAGAGTGAAAGACAAAGCGTTCAGGAGATCCTGCATATCATAGCGGTGTTTTTCCAAAGCTCCTAGATCCTGCTGCACGTCGTTGTTTATTGGGGAAAAGTTTATAAAGTACAGAGTATACACTGTTATACCGTACCCCATATCTACGATCTAAAGAAAAAAAAAATGGTGAAAATAATTCATATTTCAATATATCTGTTATACTGTGAATTTCGTTAGGAATTTGATTTAAATTAACATGAATATAGAATTTTCATTCAGGCTATATTACTATATTCTCGATCATTATACGTGTATGTATGAAAAACATGAAGATCATTTGTGTCAAAAAAGATTAAAAAAAAAATGCTCACCAGGCTCAATGCTTGAACTGCAGTGAAAAACTTTAGTACTTTTTCTTCGATAAATAATGACTTTCTGTATAAAATGTGTATTTAAAAAGTACAATTTGTTCTTTTTTTCATTTTTACTGAAATTCTACAAAATTACTTTAATTACTTAACAAATCAAATTTCATTATTAAAAATACAAGTGACCCAAGAGAGCTAATCGTCACCTGAGTACAATACAACACCGTAAAGGATCCATAGAGGTCTATAATAAAACAAAATAAACTGACAGATGAAGCTATGTTGCCCAAAAGCAAGAGAAAAATGATGATCAGGGATCTAGAAAATAAATAGTCAAGCACTCACTAACAAATCTAAAAGCTGAACTATTTACTTGTCTGTACCAACCCTAATTGTCCCTATCACTATGCAGACAAAACAAGTGTTTTAGAGTCGTTAGAAAACCCATCTCATTACCTATCACGTTGGCCTCTCTTGATCTTTGAAGAACAATTAAAATGTAAAAAAAAAAAAAAAAAAAAAAAAAAAAAAAAAAAAAGATCGGTTTTTTTTTTACATGTATATACTGTATATGATTTTTAAGTCTACCTGACCATTAAACACCTTTTTGTATTATATATTAAAGATTTTCTTGTATAGTTCTCTAATTTGATTGATCTTTTAACTCTGGAATTTTGGGGGGTCCGTGTTTTATACCCTGTTCATGGATTTACGTTGCTTTTAGATTTTTTGTTTTGAGATCGATCACTGTTCATTATCTTCCTCTTTTTTTATTCATTGCCGTCACGGTGGCGCAGTCGGTAGAGCGCTCGCTCCGTGATCGGAAGGTCGTGTGTTCGCGAATCACAGTTGCGACTGACCTTAGTCGATAAAAATAGGTGGCAAGTGTTCCTTCGCCAAGCGCTCGGCACTTTGAAGTGAAAGTTGTGGGTCTTTCGGGTGAGACCTTAAAAACCGAGGCCCCGTGTCACGGTAGGCGTTGGCACGCTAAAGAACCCTCACTGCTCAATGGCCCTGAGTGCCGAGTAAAGGCTTAATTTGAAGCCCTTCACCGGTATATGGTGACGTCTCTATATGAGTGACAAATTCTCGAACGGGACGTAAAACAACATACAATCAAACAATCATTTTTTTTTCATTACATTATATACAATGATTGATTATCACAAGTGAAAAGCAAAGGAAAATAATTTCTCTCAGTAGAATACAAATTAATACAGCCCTGCCTAGCACCAGAACACTTGACCAAGTGGTGAAGAATTTCAAAAATCTGGTAAAAATACCCTTGCTTATTATTACTTTATATTCAGTTTACCTAGATGTCCAGGAGCAGAAAAGAAGATTGTTAAAAGCAATAATGCATTTTCACTATAGATTCAACACATCCCAATTCTAACCCCTAACCCATGGGTCATTAAATTCACAACTTTGTTTATCATAACTATGCACTCAGTTTATTTGCTTAATACCCAAAAGCAGAGAAGATTTTCAAAACACTAATTAATGCACGATATTCAATATACAACCTCCCAACTGAATCCCTAATACTGGGGCCACAAATTTAAAATTTTAGAAGAGGCACCCTTGCTTCTCATAACTATGCACTTAGTTTATCTGCTAAGTACCCAGGAGCAGAGAAGAAAATTTTCAAAGAATTCATCATTTTCACTTTATAATCTTAAAGTTTATAAAATTGGTTCAATGGTTCCAGAGAAGCTTAAAATGTTAACGACAACAGACGAAAAGGATTGCAAGAGGTCACGTGAGTGACTCAGGTGAACTAAAAACTTACATGCTATCCCAGATAGTAGTGAAAACAATCTTTAAAACGCCTTTCTTATCCTTATCGTTTTTTAAAAACGGATATATCCTGTCCACGAGTATGACGTATATAACCTAAGAGTAGGGAAAACATTATTATTATCCTCGTCAATGAAAAGGAAGAAATCAGAAATAGTCATTGAAGGAATTCATACAATTCTTACATTGAGGAAGAGATGAAGCGTTATGAATGATACGTTGATGACACCCACATTGTAGATCACGTCTCGGCAAGAACTACAACACTAAAATGTTCAGATCAATGAAAACATTATCAGTATTTTTTTAAATTACAAAACGTGAAAATAACTTTTCTTTTTACGACAAGAAACAAAAGTAAGTAAACGAAAAACATAAGCAATTGCGATAGTAACATACGTGATTTATCCTAGATTTTGAGTGTGCACTGACAGAGCACATCCGCTTCTATATAAATCGTCATAATATTATTACTATGAAAGATTTTCATTTCAGAATTCACTATTTTAAGGAACATTTGATAAGTGATAGTCATAAAAAAATTTGGTTTGTATCGGTTAAGTGTTAATGGCGTTTTAAATACTGTCTACGACTTTTTTGGACAACACTCGTTGAACAATGTTTACCCCATTCTTTGCTAAAATTAGATACACTACTTACAATTATGGTGTAAAAGGTGCCTAGCTCATCACAACTGAAGGTGTAGAACTTAAAAAAAAAGAGAATTTGGTAAGAACGCAACACTTACAGAAAAAAAACCCAATTATTACATATGCTTCCTTCATATTTGCTGTTAAGTAAGATGACTTTTTTCATTGGGATGTAAAATAAGGAGGAAAAATATCATATCTGTACTTACCAAATGCATTATGATCGAAGACTGAACAAGCATGACTATTTCCCCAATTATAAATGTAAGAAAACCTAGTACAAACTCAAAAAAGAAGAGTCCTATTAAGCTGAAAGAATGTTAGTTCCAGATGCTCTTAAATCGCAAATTAAATGCTTTTTATTCTTCCAATTCTGTTTTTATATTAAATCTGTAATCTATACAATTTAAAGGTTCCATAGAATTTTTTTACCATTTATGAGGAAGATTTTAACTTACAAAATATGAAGCTTGAAGCTTCCTTTTAAACAGGATCAACCAAAGCAGAATAGGACGGGCGATCATAATCAACGGAATTATCACCATCATTGTGTAAGCAAGTCCATTCATTAGATACTGGATATTATAAATATGGCGGTATAATTGTCCGATGGTATTTTGCACCTCAGAAGTATACACATGGAGAAAGAAATAGATATAAATCGCAATTCCAAAGGACAGTTCAACTATCTGCAAAATAATAAATTTTATGATAAATTGTCGTTTTATACAATAGATTTCATCAAGAAAAACAATTATACGATAAAATTTCATCAGGAAAAACAATCTTACTACAAACAGTGCCTTAAAAGAAACAAATGGAAAATGTCTCTATCTATCTATTATTGACATATAGTGAATGAATTCTGCCTACCAATGTCGTTATAGTCAGAACAATGAATGCTGTTACCGGATTATCTGAAAGTATTCTGTAAATTCAATATTAAATTGTTATTATAATTAGAAATCTTTATCACCAATTGAAGTACATTACACTTTGTATGACGTTTTATGAATATCAGACTGATCCTATCACCAATTGAAGAATAGCAAGAGATTTGAATACCTAAAAATGCTTTACCTGATTACATTATTTTTCAAAAACTGCATCGAAATCGTAAATATCCCTTTTTCTGTAAAAGTCTTCTTGTAGAATCTATTACACAGGGCAATCGAAGCAATCTGTTACATTATATAATTAAATATTGTCAAAATTAAACGATTCCCTAAATACCTTGGCAACTTTTGTTAAGCAAAATACGAACTGCTTGCGAACAGTATTACTTATTCATATAGTTATTTTTTTTCCGCGGAATATAAACTAATAAGAGGTTTGATAATTGTAACCTATTTGATTCTTTATTACCTATTTTTAGACGCTCGTTGAAAAGCTTTTCATCCTAAGTTATATTTTATTGCTCAATGAATTTCGCTTTTTCGGATTAAGTAAGCTTCAATTTCCTTACCTGCACTAAAAAGGACACTAATGTGAATGTCCAAAAAAGCCAGATTTCCATTGCTGTGCTTACCCACAAATCAGTTCCTCCAGAGCATAGCTATAAATAGATAAAGTGCAAGCTGATACTGAGAAAACATTACAATTATCCATTTTAATAAGTTTTAAAAGATATATAAGAAAAATTATATTTTATACCACATCTAGGTCATTTTTATCAGAGTAGAATTCACATTGGTTAATACCATCCAAACAGCAGTACACCTGGAAAGAAAAAAAATTAACCATAGGCTTACTTTATCATAAAAAATCACCCGTATACCTTGATCAGTACATAGAATATAGTTAAGTACTACTTACCAATCTAAGTGGTACGATTACTATAATCCATGATGTAATTTGTAGTAGAAATAGAAAAAACCCAATCCAAAATACCTATAACATAATAAATTTGACATATTATAATGCATGAAATAAAATTCACTGGATCAGTGTCACCCACATGTTGAAAAAGAATTTACAATGATTGATATTTAAATTTATTTAATTTTAGAACCAAATCCCATTTCGAGGGAAATTTAAGATTAGTATTCTTTAGGTTGGATCTACAATTCAGAAACAAAGTTTTGCATAAGAATATGTAAATTGTAGGTTAAAAAAAAGCTCATTTGGAAAAATTTATTTATTCCGCTGAAGTACCGGATAAGTGGAAGACTTCACAAGTTGTGACCTTGACCTTGTCTCTATCTCCTCAAAATCAATAGGCATCATGGTTTAGATAAAGACCGGTTTAAAGTAAACTTAAGTCATTCCTATTAAAATTTCATTGCAAGAGATTACAAGTAAAAAGAGAAAACTAGTAATCATTTGGAAATCATGAGCAAATTATGAGTTCAAAACATATTAGAAAGTTAAAAGGTGATATGAAAACCATCTACCCTTCCGCCTTCACTAAATCGGGGGTGATTAAAGAAATACAAAGACTACATGAACAATATTTTATGGTTCCAGCAGATAAGGCTTATTACAATATCGTCTTTGTTTGTAAGACTCACTATTATAACTGTTGTTTAGAAGGGCTTGGGTTTAATTCTACGTCTGAAAATACAACTTAAACTCACTGTCTGACACATCTGTTTCATATTTGGACATTTTACTTGAAAAAGACATTATGGTAATCTAACAACCATAACTTTTCTATCGTCAACTTCCTTTCCTTATGCAGCAATATACCTTCATCACCTACATACGGGGTTTCTATCTCTCAGTTGATTCGATACCCAAGAGCATGCTCTATGTATGTACAATTTCTAAAACAAGGTAAATTACTGACAAACAAGTTGATGAAACAAGAATATCAGCAGTCTCGTTTAAAGTCGTCATTTCGTAAGTTCTATGGTCGATACAATGACCTTGTCAGCAAATACAATTTATCATTGAGTCAAATGCTGACTGACGTTTTTCATACTTATTGGTAGGCCATTATTTACACACTGAATTGTCGACGGATTTTTCCGTTATTTCCCGATCATGACAAGGAGCACACGGATGCTCACTCCTCCATGACACCTGATCCCACCTCTGATGTTTTGGAGGTCCGTGTTTGCTTTGCTGCTATTCTGTATTGTTTGATGGACTTTTGAGCTTGAATACTGTTCGTTATCTCCATATATTTTATTGTAAAAGCTAAAGGATTTTTACCGACGATCTGGATAGTACATGTTTGACGGACAACAATGTTACAATATGTAAACTTTACATTAGATCTCATTATTACAATTCAAATCATGAATAGAGTCAATGGCTATTATAAGTGGTTTCATCCATCTACATAGTATTTAGTGGCTCAGGAACCACTTATTTAATGCTTGTTGTGATTTTAATTTTTATTGATTGATTGATTGTTTGTTGTTTTATGTCCCATTCGAGAATCTTTCACTCATATAGAGACGTCACCATATACGGGTGAAGGGCTTCAAATTTTGACCTTTAATCGGTACTCAGGGCCATTGCGCATTGAGGGATCTTTATCGTGCCAACGCCTGCATTGAAATGGGGCCTCGGTATTTGAGGTCGCAGCTGAAGGACCCTCAACTTTCACTTTCAAGTGCTTGGCGAAGGAATAATTGCTACCTATTTTTTTTTTTTATCGACTTCTATTTTTTTTTATCGACTTAGGTCAGTCGCGGCCGAGATTCGAACTCATGACCTCCCTATCACGGAGCGAGCGCTCTATCGATTGAGCTATCGTGATCGTTATTTTTTTTTAAAATCATTATATAGTAAATGTTAAGGCATGATCCCTTATATTTATTCATTTAAATTCAATAGGCTTATACCCCCCTCTCTCTCTCTCGCCCGCGTGGCGCAGTTGTTAGAGCGTCTGCTCTAGAGTCGAGGAATGAGGAGTTGATCCTTACGTCGCGGGTTCGACTCCCACTGCGGGACGTGGAGACCGGTCCTTCGAATGAGACCTTATAAACCGAAGTCCCGTGTAGCAGTAGGTGCTGGCACGAAAAAGATCCTTTACTGCTTAATGGCCCTGAGTCCCGAGTATAGGTCAAAAATTTGTAGCCCTCCACCGGCAAGTGGTGGCGTCTCCATATGAGTAAAAAATTCTCGAGAGGGACGTTAAACAACAAACAATCTCTCTCTCTCTTTCTCTCTCTCTCTCTCTCTCTCTCTCTCTCTCTCTCTCTCTCTCTCTCTAAAACCTTATCGTGTAATAATTAATATTTTTTATACTTACGCTGATTAAAATTTTAGAATTTTCCAAGTACAGCCCCATAAATAATGGTATCTGCGTTAAGAATGAGAGATTCAAAGTAACAGCCATCATTATATAAGACACGTCGCGGAGAGTTCCTACGTTTCCAGAAGTTCCGTTATGAAAAATCCCGTGTAGTGTGTCGGTAATTCTCGAATAAGCCTGCTGGTCGTATCGTACCGTCAAAAGTCCACACAGAAAAATAGTGCTGAATACCTGAAATAAAAAACAAAATAATGAGAGCAATATATATTTTAACTTATATACACGATAGCGGAATTTATTTACCATAATGAATACTCCCACACCAATGTTGGCTGCTGCTAGAGGTGACCTAAAAGAGAAATTCAGAGGAACAATGTAAGATCTTCATATGTGCTTTAGCTCCTAAAGTATTTAACTTTTTAAAAATAATGGAAAAAACATATGTGAAAATACATTTGGTAATAATACACGAGCTAAATAATATTAACATAATAATACATGGTTCCCTATAATTTTGAAAAGTGTTCTTATGCTTCCTAGATATTCCGTTCAGAAACAGTCTCTTTTAATTAAAACTAAAACTCTGTGTTTAAATATTTCGTATACAGAGGTTTTTGGTAGTCATGTAAGTGTCGATGACATTGAAATTACCAACAAAAAATTTTTCGACTTCCTTCAAGTAGATGCGTGTAGTCTTATACCGCGTTATAGTCCTTATTTTAGGACTGATGATACAATTGTTTTCTTTAATCACGAATATTACAATTAAACCAAGGCTCATATTAGTAAAATAGTAATTGTAGCCGCTTAAAGTTTCATTTTTCATTCGAAGTATATCAGCAATCATGTCAAAATACATGTATGTTATTTAAAAAAATATATAGATTGATAAGGGTGATGCAAACGGAACGAAATTTGAACATCATAGAAAGTTTCCTAACATTTCAGACAATTGCTATTTTCATCATTAACAAACAAAATAAGCCATATATACCATCCATGCATCCAATTTTTGAATTTGGTTTGTAGTATGTGTCCTTATTAATTTTATTAATCATTTGTTTGTCGGAGATGAATTTTAAATATCAAGATAAAGAGAATAAGGTGTTAAAAATATAAATAAGTGTGGTTTTTCAGATAATATAACGAACATTTGTTTTCAAATGAAATGATAATATTGAATATATAGTTCACTTGTACGCACCGTTTAATTTTCAAAAACAGAAAATATATAAATCCGCTGGGTTCCTTGTCCTCCACAGGACTGATTGCCTTGAATATTCTATCAGCCATTACGAGATGTATTGTCTGTAAATAAAATGGGGTGGAAACTTACATCGATCCAGAAAGAAGTGTCATAAGAATTACTGAAAAATCACTAAATTTCGTGGGGAAGTAGGGGTAATTTTCGTTGTTTTCGAGGTATGAAAAGACTCATGAATTCATGTCTACCGCGAAATATAACATGCCTTATTCATAACTACTTAACAATTCCTTATCTACGAAATCAAGTCCCCTCGAACCAATATCTTTTTTTTTCTCAAAGCACGAAAATTTGACGCCACGAAAATGTGTGATTTTACAGTATTTTTTGGTTGTTCATTAAATATAAATCATTTTCTTGCCAACTCTCATAACATTTCATGTGTATGTTGTAATCTTGAAAATTCATGTCTTTTTTCAACGTTCCTAGTATGTAAATTTAGCAATTTGAGCAAGCATCAGCATTGATAGGAAAGAGTGTGGTTTCTTATGATTTTGTAAATGTATCTTTCCAAGTATGAACCATAATATTTAATACAGATAGATAGAAATATCATACCTTTATTGCTAAATGAAACACCAAAAATCCGAATGACAACCATACGACAATTGTAGCTCTATCCCAGATTCCCATTGTATTGCTACATAACTGTAAAGAGAAAAGTAGGAGAAATCACTTTTAAATTAAAACTATCTTTATCTTTGACGTCATGTAAGAACGTGTTATGATGTTTATTTACCTCTTTTCCTTGGTCATTATTTGAAAATTGGCAATGGTAGCTCTCGATCCCATCTAAACAACAGTAAAGCTGCAAGAAAAATAAAAAATATAATTATATTCAAAATGTCACTCGAGAAACAAAAATTGAGAAAAAACTCAAAAGCCACAGCACATCCTAACTTATATAATACTTTTATTACACTTAATAACTGTCTACGGATCCATTCGTTTATCCGACAATAACAATGAGCACATGGCATTTGTGACCAGTCGACAAGTGACGCTTACTCCCCCATGGCATCTGATCCCACCATTGAGGTATTTAGAGGTCTGTGTTTTCTCTGACCCCAATTTTTATTGTTTCAATTGACTTTTGAGCTTGATTTCTGACCATTATCTTCATATTCCATTACTAAATATATGATGTCAGTTACTTACCATTCGAATTAAAAAGGTGAAAAATATTAGAATGATGACTTCTACCACCAGCACGAAGAACTCGCTAATTATATACTGCAAGAAGAAAAAATATCCGAGGACTTCTTTCTCGTAAAAAAATAATCATCCGTAGAGTAGAAGAAATTCTGTGCACATAAATCAAGATTCTCATGAGAAATAAATGCGTACCACTGTCAATGCAATGCGTTTCCTTCTATATATTGCAAAGAAGTTTAAAAATTTCAGAATAATCGAAACTAATAGAACGCACAGAAAGGTTATTGTTAGGATGTACTCTAAATATCCCATAGATATCCCATCTTTCCATATCTTCCAGATGATATCCTTAAGATAGTAGTCACGGAGCCAGCTGAAGGTTAGAATTAGTAAGGAAATACCCAACGCTGTTTCATATATCTACAAAAGATGTCATATTAGGAATATCCAATTTATTTATACTTCAAATATGTTATCATGAATGTTGAACCTTTATGAACCTTTTGCCTATTATCCGAACAGCATGGATGTACAGTAAATATACTTAAACTAATGGTTTAGTTATTAATTCATTAAATTTTCAAAATAACTTACTATATCAAAAATCTTTAAAAATCCTGATATCCACAGAATCTTATTTCTGAAATCAAAAAATACGTGATATAATTATTTTTTAATCAATGAAATAATTTTAAATAAGAGTTTGAATGTTTATTACATTCTATTCCATATCAATGGGTGTTTAATTTCTATAAAGTCGCATAAAAAAAATAGAAGAATCCATTTAAACTCAATCTTAAAATCTTTAATTTTAAATAAGCATACATTTTCCGTTATACAAAACTATTTGGTAAAGATTATCCCAGTAAAATCCTTTTATATAGATATATAAAGTTACCTTTGCCAAACAGTCACTGAATACCTATGAAGATCTGCTAATATTCCGTTTGTATATTTGATTCTCTCTTTAATATCTTTGATGTCGATCTTGCTCATTCTATAGATGTACTCTGTAACTGCCACCGACACACACTATAGTAAAGAGAAAAAAATATCTTCTCCTGAAAAACCATACTTTTTCTCTCTTTTATCTTGCATTTTAAGAGAAAGCTTTACTCTGAAAATGCATGTTTTAGTAAACGGGTTCAGAGTTTGGCCTATCTTTAATGTAGCTGAGACATTTTTCGTCATTTTAAAATTCAATCTTGAGAACTGTAGTTTTCTTGGAAATAAACTAAATGGCATAATACGCGTAAAAATGAGATTTTGGTAGAAAATACTAACACTTGCGATTATGTTGACAGAAATGACAGCTAGATAGAAGCTTCCGTAAGTCGTGATAAAACTCTGGATAACATCAAGACACGCAGTGGAGAAATAACATACGTAGCCAACAGAGTTTACAACCCAGGCATTGTAAGTTGGTTGTCCCGTCACGTTACAGCATTTTAACTACAGAGATAGAAATAAAAATTTTCAATATTTCTTTTAGAATCAGACAAATTCATCTTGTTCCTTAATAAAAAGGTTTTTTATCAATTCAAAGGGAAACAAAGCATCAATCTGAACGTACATTCTCACCTTTATTCTTCCAAGTAAGAAACCATTTCTTACATGATTAACTATACGCCTTACATAAGAACATTATAATGAGTTATTGATAATTTGAAAAGAGACAGTCTAGCTTTATTTAAGTTAGTTTTACGTTAGTTTTTAAAGTTCCTTGATTGCTCTGCTCCAAATTTATATTCTCTCAATTGACTTTTGAAGATAATTACTGTTCGTTATCTTTATATTTCATTTCATTATGACTTGTCCCTTCCTGAACTCCATATCTTATGAATACCACAAACATAATTTACATTTTTCTTTGTTCCCAAATTGAAATTTGTAGCTTTTAATGCTCACAGTTCCAAAGAAATATGTCCACTTCTCCCTGTCACTTCTGTAGATCATTATGTCTGATGCTGCTGTGTGGGCTAACTCATATTCGTCCGATGTTGCATGCTCATTCTGAAATTTTGAGATAGATAATTCTATAAAATCAGAGACAGAAAGAAGAAGGTACGGTTTCAGCTTTATGTGCCCTAAAAATTTAATGCTTTTAAAAAGTTTTGAAACTGGCTTAAACATTAGTTGAGTATATGACTGTGAAAAATCATGAAAGAATAGGCCATGAAGATGTACCATTCTGGAAATTATAACGTCATTAATTTGATGCATTTCTCTATTCCAAACAGAAAAGCCTCAAGATGACCCATTTCAAGGGTTATTTCCCTTAAGAAAATAGTGTCCACAGCCGTCGCCCACTTTAATTTTCGGATATGTTGTGTAAAATTCTTTGAAAAATCACATATCTCAAAATTCTTGTGGGCGATGCCTGTGGACAATATTATCTGAAAGAAAATTCCATTGAAAATTGGTGTCTTCTGCAACTTTTTAAGAAATTGCACAAGTTTATGACGTCACAATTAGATTTAGAAGGTCATGTGAGAAACATGATTTGTATGATCTTTTTTAATGGAACTTCAGAATGATTCAGAAAGCATGAGTTTTAATTTTTTGCATCACTTTCATTTTTAAGAAAACACAGGGCAAGATTTGTATTGAAACCGTACCTTTTTTTTTTTTTTTTTTTTTTTTTTTTTTTTAAAAAATAAAATTCGTTGCGTGACTTGAGTAAATTTATGCCGTATTTAAAAACTTAAGTACATACCTCACTCATAATCCACGATATTAACGAAAGGTACACTATTTCCATTACAATTAACGGCAGATGACTTACAGCATGCTACAAAAAAATTTGCTAATATTCATTTTTTTTTTAAATAATGATAAGCTTAAATGGTAAATAAAGATACCAGATTAAGATTCGAAGTCTTTGTCAATATTGTTTTTTTTTCCTAATTTAATCCAGTTTGAAATGTGCACTTGCCTAGAATTATATCCTAATTAGATCTAAAAACACTTTGTTTGGTCGGTAATTCTCCAATTTTCTTTAGGGTGTGACAAAAAATGTTAAGGTTCGTTTTTAAAAAATCATCTCAAGATACATCTATTATACAAACATTTTATAAAGAAAAATTCATTGAATAATTATCATTCAAAGATCTCGAAGACCACATGTGACACCATTTCGACGAAAAGGTGAAATTAGCTGGACGATCACACTTTAGTATTGCAAGAAACCTGTTTTTAATTCTATTCGTACTTGACTTTTACATACATATTTCTCAAAATGGTTTTGTTCCGTCTCCTTCATAAAACCTCGGCTGTACGACTTAACCTGATTAACTTGATTTTCCGAATCACCTAAACTTCGACTAAGAGGGAAACATTCGCTTATCCTATATGTATGACTATATTTTTCTTTTTCAAAGCATATACAAAGTTACTGATCATCCTTAGATTTTTCTAAGCTTTATTTGGTGTTTAAAAATACGCTTGAACAGAAACGTGAGTAAGATTCGAGATTGAATTTTCTTGATGCCATGCTTGCAATAATTCTTCAGATTTACAAAAAGCAGACTGCAAATTTTTCACCTACCGTTATCAGCAGAAACCTCTTTCTTTTGAACACCATTACTAGTCCTATCAACCCTACAGCAGAGTAGAGCAACAAAAAGGGCATCAGGGAGTAAATTAGGAACATCAGTGTCGATCCCAGGGGTAATGCCCCGATAGTGATGTGATCTAATACGTACACAACCGACTGGTCCAGGAAAGAATAATAGAACTTTATAACGAACCCACCAATAACATAGCCAACTGTTAATACCTTCAAGAAAAGAGAAAATGTTCGGAGTAATCAATAAAATCATTTTTCCAGTCTTCGATGAAATGAAATGGGCCTAATGTATCGTCAAACAAAAACATACGTAACTATTTAACTTTATTTTTTTACTAATTTATTGAAATTTCAGGGTTGGGAGTGGTCCACATTGATTAATAAAACTGCTGAATGAGAAAATCTTTATGATCCGCTAATTTATAGAATATATTTACTTACCCGGGTGATGAGGGTACAGATGATGATGGCAGTTATTGGTTTCGATATAATGGGTACAGCTGATGCCGTCATAATGTTGCTCCTGATTTAAAGAAACAAAGTGGAGAATGCGTAAACTTTTATAACTCTGTTTACTAATTCACGGATCAATGAACAATTAAGAAATGCTTCCGATGAAAGATTTCCATGGTACCACGTAATCAACAAACTCAGTACATAGCGGCAAACCATTAGTCGTTCTCTATAAGGTTTTAAGAGTAAGTATGCGTAAAGAAATTATCAAGAATTTATCACATTCCAAACATAGCGTTGGACAAAGTTGTCAGAACAACTGGCGAACTGTATATGTATTGATATTCATCTGCACAAAAAGAGGTCGGAAAACAAAATACTTAATTGGGGGATTTAACGATTACTTGAGACTACCTGAATTGAACTTTTATACGTTACAGATGATATTGATCTTTTATTTCATGACGTAAGCTCCAAAATATATTATCAACATGTTTTTAAAGGTCTCAATTCGTGGAAGATAAACAAAGATATTTTTTTGGAAACATACACTTCTTGTATTGGCTATTTAACCCTTGAGGAAATTCAGTACATATTTTTTTATCTTAATCTTAGATATGTGACTGTCACGGATCATAATGTAATTAAATTTCATTCATACTGACAGTGTTTGAAACCTTGTAAGTTTAACTGAGAAATTTATGTATAGCGCGATTTAAGAAAATTCTATGACATAATGAGAATTTTAAAATCCAAACATTTATAAAATAAATGTATATTTATTAAATTCAGTTGTAGTTCAAAAATTATGCTGCTTTCCAAAATAAAATAAATAATTCTCAAATTCAAATCCCATGAATTATGGATATAATTTTATTCTAGTACATAATTTGTAAATAAAGCATATCTGACCAAGCAGGCTATAACAGTCTTTATTTGTAAGGCTTATTATTACAATTGAATTTTAAAGAAACTTGGAGTCAATAAAAATGGTAATCCAAATTATACTCATAGTTCCCTTTGTAAGGAGCAAATTCTTCAAAACCATACGTGAGTTTTAAATAATATTAATATAATTCTTAATAATTAAATTGAATTTGAATGACGTATACTGGATTCTTAAGGAGGGATTCTTCTCATATTTCTTGTATTCAAAAATTAATGAAATTTTCATAGATTCAAAAAGACATTATCACTTAATGATGGTATCAATCGAATTAAATTTGACCGTTTTATTTTTGAAGCAAGGTTAGGTCAAGGTCATTATCTTTTTCCTTGATATTAAGAATATAAAGATACTGTTGTTAAATATGCGATGCCTACTTCTATTTCAGATGATAAAATGTTTTTCTTTTTTGCATAAAAAGATGTTACCATATAGGGTCTATCAGATGATACTACCAAATTGACATAAATAATTTAACTGAAAAAGATATCGGCTAATCCGAATTTCCTCTACTTTTCTTAAACTTTTAAGATATATTAGTTATTTTAATATGTGTCGTATATTTAAATTTTTCTGATTTTCACATATGGCAAAGCAGTCATATAAAGATACAAAATGATACAAAAACAAAAAATTTGACCGTTTACTAAGAGAGAGATAAAACACTTTTTACGGATTTTTTGCTCAAGTCTGTACTTAGATTGGAAAGTTTTAAAAGCTTACAAAAATTAAGTTTGTTAGAAAAATAATTTTAATTGATATATTTTAAAATTTCAGTTCATTATTATTAATTTCACTTACATTTGAATATTTCTTTAAAACCTTTGATTGTTTAAAAATTTAATTAAATTCAGCGTTCTGTTGTAATATTGAGAAGCCAAAAAGGAGATATTTTCATATGCCGTCATTCCGCCAAAAATATAGTCCTTGCTAGATTTCAAACTCAGTTTACCATTTCTATTTAAAGTGGTACAATTATGATGAGGAAAGAAAAATATGACCTTTTAAATCCCTTACATCTGAATATAAGACATATAAGCATATATACTTTGATTATTTCATCTCTTTAGAACAAAGACAAGAATCCCTCCTTAAGCTTCATAAAAATTCTTAAAAACCAAAGATACCAAGCGGATCCTAGTAAGTGTTCTACCAAGCCTCTTTCCTTATTTCTCAAAAAATATTGACAGCAGTGAAGGAGAAACTTCAGGAGTACTGATTGATTGACTGATTGTGGCTTTACATCCCGTTCGAGAATTTTTCACTAATATAGAGATGTCACCATATACCGGTGAAGGGCTTCAAATTTGGATCTTTACTCGGCACTCAGGGCCATTGAGCAGTGAGGGTTCTTTATCGTGCCAACGCCCTACCGTGACACAGAGCCTCGGTTTTTAAGGTCTCATCTGAAGGACCCGCAATTTTAAGTTTAAAGTGCCGAGCCTTGGCGAAGGAACAGTTGCTATCTATTTTTCTTTTTATCGACTTAGGTCAGTCGCGGCCGTGATTCGAACCTTCCGATCACGGAGCGAACGCTCTACCTACTGAGCTGTCATGACGATTCAGGAGTACTGTACAACATAATAGAGAAGTGGTATTCATCAGATGTGGATGCTTAAAAACCCTAGGAAACTTTTTAAAAAATGATTTCATAAAACTTTACCTTCAATGTACGTTTTACTAATGAAAGACATTGATGGCAAATTTAGAATTAAGCTTTATGATAAACTTCCCTTATATAATATAGCATGTACCATTATCACATTGCAAATGGAGTTTCTGTTTTCCATTTCATTCGATTTGTTATACGTGCGAGAGAATTCTAAAAAGAGGAAAGTTATTTACTTGTATATTAAATATTGTTTAATTATTTATTAATTACTCCTGTTGACACCTGTTACATCTGTGCTTTCACAACCTACTGGGTAAGACTCAGACCTGCAGTGCAGTTCTTTGTTTTTACTGGCATTGGCACTGTTGACAATACCCAGATGTATGCACCTATCTAGGGTACTGATACTTTCGTATGATAATTAAGCTGCGGTTAATTACAAGGACTTCCGATGGTCCCCCACTTCATTCTGACCAATCACAAGTCTTCTATTTCTAGTACCCGGTATATCAGTTGAGGAAAACAATGCACTTGTCAATTTTGAAGAAAAAAAATTTGCAAGAGCAAGGCCTTTTTGTACTTTTGTTTTCATACACTACAGCTTTGCTTTCCATGCCAAGTTGTACAGATCTAATTGCTAGCTGTAGTTATTGGATTTTAAAGGGCTTTTGAAGCAAATATGTTTGATGTTAATTTCAACGTGTGATTCGCATCCGACCCTCTCAGATGGAGAACAGGTCCCCATATGCGTTTTCCAAGATGCAAGCGATGTACATACTAGAGGACTGTTGAAATTCGAAATATGGCGGAATTGACATCCGATAGAGAAGAAGTGATTCAGTGGGCTATATCCAAGAAACTGTCCGCAAACACTCTAAAGGAACTATTAGCCCATGGGTTCGAATCTATGGAAGCCTTGGCCAATTTTTCCCAAGAGGACATTTCTAAGGCGAAATTACCAGTAGGGCAACTACGCCTGCTGACGAAAGCAGTGAAAGCAACCTTTTCAACTCCCTCGAAGTTGAACCCGAGCAGCCCCATGAAAACGTTCAAGAAACCCAAGATCAGGACCCAGAAATCATTCCAAGCCCCAACGCTAGTGGTGGCCCAGGAAATTCGGAGGAAACTATTAGAGCTGTTCTGGACCAGATGAAAAGTCAACAGACGACCATTCCATCCACTCCACTTTCAACTGAAGTAACAGACACTTCTCCAGAGATTCAAGGCGGGTATTCTTGGCAAGATTCCCAGGTTCATATAAAGTCTCTAAATGTCAGCAGCACTCGTAGTTCTCACTTAGACATTGTTGATTTTGTTAATGTTGGGGGGTCTCATCCGACTGAGAAGATTATTACAGACAGTTCTGGTTTTCAGTTAGTTTGCCGCAGTGGCCCTAACAAGCCAAAACTTGAAAATATATCTTTTAGTCAGTGGTCAACTGCTAATCTTGCTATTTTGCATAAATTGGTTGAAGATGGCATTCTTCCTCAGAAGCAGATATTTGATTACTTGTCCCACACATCTAGAATTTACCGCATTGTTTCATCTCATGACTTAGTATCTGTGTTTTTATATGATAGAGAGAATAGGCGTCTCCAACATATGCATAAATTTAGATGGGGCACTTCTGTCAATCATTTAGCTGTTGAATATCTGCGTCTGAGGAATCATGTTTCATTTATGTCTCAGTCGGGTGTTACAAACCCCAAAACAAGTGTAGTTAAGAATGTTGGTAACAAACCAAATGCAAACAATTTAGCATTCCACAATGCTATTGGAAAAGAAATCTGTAGACGTTACAATTCTAAGATAGGGTGTTACAACAAGAGATGTAAATAGGAGCATGTTTGTGGTGTACCTGGGTGTTACGGTCAACACTCTTGTACAGAACATCAAGCAGCAAAAAACGATTAAGTAGAAAACCCACAATGACTCTACAAATTGCAGCCTGGGAAAAAGAGTTGGGTCATGATTATGATAGAGATTTTATTTTAGAAGGCATCAGAAATGGGTTTGATATAATTGATCCTGATTCCAATCCTGTAAATGTTTGTTTAGATAATCATTCTAGTGCAAAACAAAATTCCCCACTTTATGCTAAAGCCACAGAACAAATTCGCACTGAAATAGAAAATGGCAATTACATTGAGGTTGATAAACCTCCATTAATAGCAAGTCCCTTAGGAGTAATCCCTAAGTCAGAAAGAGGGGTTACAATTATTCATGATTGTAGCAGACCGCAGGGACTTTCTTTCAATGCCTATGCATCCACTGTTGATAAACATAGGTATTCTACTGTTTATACTGCAGCCAAGCTAGTTAAAAAAGGCTTTTATATGGCAAAAGTTGACTTGAAAAGTGCATACAGGAGTGTGCCTATTAGTCTAAGAAGCCAACAGGTGACTGGCATAAAGTGGGAATTTCCGGAAAAAACTAGGTATTTTTATGACTGCAAATTACCTTTCGGCTCAAGTTTAGCCCCTGGAATTTTCAATCGCTTATCCCAGGCTGTTGTT